ACAACTGCATGCAATAGATGCGTTTATTTTATTTTAAGATCTGGCAAAAGAATGCATCTCACCTCATATAAGTTTGTATTTTCAAAAGGCAAATGCATAGTATATTTTTCAAACAGGAAAACTGGCCAGCCGTGATTTGCAGATTTTTTTTAAATTATTGGTGTAGCTCGACGTACATATGTAGATTAGTAATTATTTTAATGTTTTTAATGCATTTAAATAAAGCGAAATACTTCCTTATGTACTCGTATAACAAATTTATAAAATAGGCATTTATTTAGAACTGTCTATGAAGTGTAGACATTTGCGGTGTCAGTGTGTCTATTTAAAGCATATTTAAACCTATGAATATTTCAAAACAATAAACTTCATTCGAATTCAATTCGTAAATATTATTTTTATGCTATAATATATTAAACAAAATTAATATTATATTAAACAAAATTCATTACTGGGGAGTAATGAGTTAAAAAATTAAACAGCCCTAACATTGCATCTGTGCGGACTTGACTTACAAATTGGCCCTACCACCGGATCGAATTTAGCGATGAGATAAAATAGAGATTTAGGTAGGAAAATGAGCAAAATTACTCGCTACTGTAGGCTGATTAGTGAAAACAACTTAAGGATGCGATTACATACTTACAACTCCGGATCGGACCGATTTTAGTTATTACGATCAATACGATCCTATATCTAATCTATCTCTATATATAAAAATGAATTGCTGTTCGTTAAACTCAAGAACAGCTGAACCGATTTGGCTAATTTTGGTCTTGAATTATTCGTGGAAGTCCAGAGAAAGTTTAAAAGGTAGATAAATATGAAAATTCTCAGAATTAAATAAAGCTTAGGTTTTTTATTTATCGATTGAGGCACTACGAAGTCTGCCGGGTCAGCTAGTCGATTTATAAATTTAATTTTATATTTAGCGACTTTCGTCATGGTGGTTTTTCCGTTCGAAATGCATCAGCTTACTCTCAAAGTGCCAGCTGCTCTATACAAAACAGTACATAAATATACAGTCTGAACATAATTCCAGTTTAAAATAATGTAATATTATACTTTTATGGATTAATGTCGCATTTACAATTTTATTTTTATTGTTTCAGACGACAAGGAAACTACAAAGTATTCGAAAACTAATAAAAACGAGATTAAACATTAAAACTAGTTTTAATTATTATAATTGAAATTTTGAACATGTCGTTCTCAAATGAATATTCATTATATTTTCATTTACGCTATAACTTTTGTGAAATATTCTTGTGCAGGGCGAAGATGAGAGTATAATTTAGTTATGATAGAATTACACAAAGTGGGCATAGAGCGAAATAGAATTTTTGAACCATATGACTTAATACTTTCAGCTAATAAGAGACGTACTAACCGTTACTTAACATATTGGTAGGGCGTCTTGTCAGCCCGTATTTACCCGAAGTACCACCACTACTATTTCTGCCGCGAAGTAATGCTTCCCGGCTTGAAGAACAAAGCAGCCACTGTACTTTAGAACTGAGACTTAGCACTCTTGTCTGAAGGTGGCTAGCGGCATTTACGTTCTGGATAGCTATAGACCCAGGAAGCCACTTAACACCTGGTGGGCCTTGAGCTCGTTTACCCCGCTTAGGAATATAAAAAATTGAAACTGAAAATTTTTACGTATTCATAAATATTTTTACAAACTGAAAAATTTTACTATCGATCAGAATTGTAATAAGCAGAAGGACATTTATTCATTACATGGATGAGTGAACGAACTCACACTCCACCTCATGCTAGGTGGATACTGGAGACCGAGTCCAGCCCTTCGAATCGAATTCGCCGGTAGGCAGCGGCTTGGCTCTGCCCCTGCTGGCATTGCTGAAGTGCATGGGCGACAGTAGCCACTCATCAGGTGGGCCGTATGCTCGTGTGCCTACAAGGGCAATAAAAAAAAATACATGTCTGTTTCGCGGCAGAAATTCGGGCATGGTAGTGATATATATCCGTGCGGGGCTACAATAAGTCCCGACTAAAACCTCTTGTCGCTCAACAACCAATGTCCAAACCTCACATGAGACAGAACTCATGAAAAGGCAAAGGGGGGAAAGTGAAGTGTTTAGTGCGGAGTACATCTCTCCCATCACCCTCCTCCTCGGGACGCCGGACTGGCGGTCGTCGGCGCCACGACCACCAGCCCTCTCGGTCGGCAGGCTATCCGGAGCCCGCCTAGATGGCGCCGGTTAGACTGACTTATCCTACGGAATACCCCGCTGGGTCAGAACCAGCGTGGGTCGAGGATAGCCGGCCTTCCATCACCCGGATGCTCTTGCGTAAAACGCGTGCAGAGCAGCTTGCACGTCGTCTTCTTAGGTCCCCCTCGCCGGTCCCTAGACCGACATGTGAGGGGGACCCGAAACACTTAGAGGGCCAGGGCTTGGGCGAGATCCGCCTCCCTGGCCCCCGCTCGACGGCGGCGGGCTTGCGCATGTCTAACGCGCCCCGCCGCCTCCTTCTGCGAGATGGTGCACTCGCAGAAGTCGAGCATCGCCTTCCACGACTCGTCGTCGCCGAGCATCGATGCCAAAACACTCGGCAACGACAAGTCGTAATGGCATGACTTTAATAACACGATGTTACTTGGTTAACAAACTTGGATGCTACAAACTTGATATCGTTTTTATCGGCACCTCAGGGAAGCTTTATGTCACAGTATCATCAACATACGATAGGTGACTCGCGCATAGTTGGGTTAAAAAAATCGATTTTTTTCATAAAATTAGCGATATTTAATAACAGAACTTGCGGATTCCACTAGTACGACATTTTTATCTTTACTGTAGCTCTATTGTAGGTTTTTATATAAATTATATGAGCTTACACAAGATGATTACATAAGACACTCGGTCTGATCTAAATTTAAAACCATCACCTCCAGAACTGCCAACAATACCTAAACATACAAACACGCCTAGAAATTAGAAGAGTACCTGTTGAGAAATTACAATGATATCTCCGAACTAAAGCTTCCAAGATAACGAAATGTTAACCTCATCTCTCTCTCTCTCTCTCTCTCTCTCTCTCTCTCTCTCTCTCCTCTTCTCCCCACAGAGTTGGACCCTACCACAAGCAAGCTACTACCTATACTGGTGGTAGGACCTCTTGTGAGTCCGTGCGGGTGGGTAACACCACCCTGCCTATTTCTGCCGTGAAGCAGTAATGCGTTTCGGTTTGAAGGGTGGGGGAGCCGTTGTAACTATACTTGAGACCTTAGAACTTATATCTCAAGGTGGGTGGCGCATTTACGTTGTGGATGTCTATGGGCTCCAGTAACCACTTAACACCAGGTGGGCTGTGAGCTCGTCCAATCATCAAGGCAATTAAAAAAAAAAAAAAAAAAACCTTGTTTGTTTGAAGATGGCCGAAATTATCGACTATTTTCGTCATTTCTAAGAAAGTCCTTACTAGATAAAAACTCAGATCAGCTCTTGCACTAGCGTCTATTGTTGAATTATATTTATCCTTAAGCTACGTGGACTTTCTTGCCTTCACTGAATCGCTTGTATGAAATAAGACTGCATAAAAAAGCGAAAGTGATTAACTGCATTCGAACACCGGTATAATACTCAAGATTAAAACTAATGAATGCTACAACACGAGCGGTTCCGAATACCTAATTATTATTTACGACGAGGTATTAATTAGGCGAGCCTTATTTTCATCGCATGTTTCGTCCATAGCTTCGTACATATTTTTTCTGCGATAGCTTCGCTTAGATATCTCCTACGATACAAAAATGAATATTATTAGTTTCAGAATTACGTGTGCTCCTTGCTTGTGTAAGAGTCATGATACCGGAAATAAGTTCGAATTGAATTTACAAAAAATGCACTGACGAGAACTAGTTTGTTGAAATTTAAAGTTAATGGCCTTGGCTTATGCACGTCTGTTCAAAGCTTAGTAGCAAAACCGGGCTATGTTCCGCTGTGACTATCGCTGTCTGCTGTGACAAGATTTATTTGTAAGAACTTTCTGTTGAACATTTAATGTACTACGACAAAAAATTTTGCTAAACTGACAATAAATGTTTCAAAAATGAACACAACCGTTTTAATAATTGCGAACTTTTATATTGCGAACAAGATAACAAACATTCATCTTTATACATCATAGATTTACCGACATAATAGAAACTTATATTATTACATTAAGAATGTAATCATAACTATAGCTTACAATACTTCAAAGAGCCAGTCCTAAACATGTTTCGAAAAAATAATACCTACTATTGCGCAATCTGAAGTAACGATATTTAACGATCCAATATTTATTACAGGTAGCAAAAAAATTAAGTATCTTGCACAACAGTCTATCAGGCTATCATCCGAATAGATATTTTACTGGTGGTAAGACCTCTTGTGAGACCGCACGGGTAGGTACCACCACCCTGCCTATTTCTGCAATGAAGCAGTAATGCGTTTCGGTTTGAAAGATGGGGCAGCCGTTGTAAGTATACTGAGACCTTAGAATTTATATCTCAAGGTGGGTGGCGCATTTACGTTGTAGATGTCTATGGGTTCCAGTAACCACTTAACACCAGGTGGGCTGTGAGCTCGTGCAACACAATAAAAAAAAAAAAGATAAGCAAACTAATAACCTCGAGCTACTGATTATATCATCTTCAAATGCAAAGATATATCCGACGTAGTATGTCACTGACTTACCCATAACCACCACTATTTCCCAGCATTCCCAAGAAAAGTCAGGCTGATGGTCATAAAACGGTAAACTAAATGTAGTTTTACAAAATTATACCGCAGTCCGCAACTAGCGGTAACAATAATGGAACGTAAATTAATTTATTACATAAATAATTAATTAGCACGTGAAGATTTAGGCTGATCGGTTTCAGCGCTATCTAAAATATTATCATATAACAACGAATCTAACGCACCGTTATAATCTCTTTTCATTTCGTACATCGTGATTCAAGCCAACCAAGTTAAATGAATACTTACAAAAGTAAAGCCGACTCCCAGACTGACGACGTAGCCCCAGCCGCCGTCGGGTGCAACCCATCCAGCTTTGTTTTTCTTATTTCCACTACTCTCTATGTGCGCGAAAGCCTCATCCATTTTCACAAATTTCTTTCACACGAAATTCAAATAATAAAAAAAAACGTTAATTTTTTTTTATTTTTTTTTCACTCATATATTTTGATCATATTGTATCGTATTACATATAGTTTTTAATATTTTTTTATTAATTTATCGTAGTGAAAATAAAACGTTTTCGTCGTCACTCAGTTAGCATTTTATCGTGTGATTCAGATACGGTCCGCGCACGTCCTCACCGAAGTGTTTTCGTAATGACAATAAGAGCTCTTGTTCAATGAATACATTCTTATTAACACTATGGAGAATTATGGAATCAGTTGTCACTCAAGTCCTGCCCTTTCAATCACTAGTTAATATAACACTCATCAATTTTCGATATTTCATAGTTGTGTGTCGTCAATTATATAACCCCGTTCATCTATTTGGGAGTAAATTAGAATACTCGTAAATAGGTATGCGATTTGCGCCAATTGGACTTAACCCGTTCTTCACTCGTGCTCCGTCTGGTCTACCCTCACCTGATTTTATCATCTAATTCCTTCTACTCTTGAACCTAATTCCTACTTTGAACTCCCGGAGTACGTCGTGTTATAGACACTGACTAATATCATCATCCGTCCTTATACCATCACCTTTATCATTTTTAGTCACCGAGTCATAAAAATTTAATAATAAATAAAAATAAGCCCTCACTATAGGCTCTGGCAACCGCTTGTTTTACTGTTATTGCGGAAATGGACGAACGAGCTCACAGCCCGTCTGTTGTTAAATGATCACCATCAAACGATACAACTATACCGGTCCTCGAATCCCGTAAGCAAACCAACCAAATTTGTTGTGAAACAGGAACTTAACTTATACTCACAGATGACTTTAAAATGAAACACGAAAAATGTTGCGTAATTACTATGCCGTTGTGGTATAGACCTTTTATTAGGTTTCAAGATGAATAGAGGCATTGACTTTGTGATATCTATGAGCTCCACCCACCGCTTAGCACCAGATGGGCCGTGAGCTCGTTCAGCCATCTACGCAAGATGGATAAGATAGGAGTGAAAGTCTCTTTCCAAAAAAAGGATCTAATTCAAGTTATTGCATATTTGTTAAGCCTGGAATTTAAGGTTTTTGAGGAAATTTGAGGCAACCTATGAACGTGATAATAAAAATGTTGTGAAATACATCACTACTTAAATACTTTAAGCGGGTTTAAATTGTATGTCATTAGACATACTAATAATAGTAATTAGAAAGAAACAACAAAAGTTACTCAATAATAAATCACTATGACGACAATTCCCGCAATCGTGCTTGGCATAGTATCTTTGATGGCATTTATGTATATAAAGCTATTGGTTCGACAAGCTAAGAAAATGCATTTTTAGTTACAGCAATGATACATAAACTCTGTTTTTTATTGATTCTACAAATTTATTTGACGTTTAATGTTTTACGTCAAGGAAACTTCATCAAATTGTTTTCTTTTACATAGGTATCATAATATTTAAAGGATAGGTGTTTAAAAAAATAGTTGAGGCTACAAGTTCCGTTAACCGCGAATAATGATGTGTAGTTGTGATCAAGTTAGTCGTGGGCCAGCTTCAAAGAAAAAAAAAATTAGTCAAGAAGTAAAAAAAAATTTTTTTTTCGTGCCTTGACCAAACCTCCTTTGGAGTGTCCGCACCTAAGGGCACTCGGGGTATGTGGGACTTGACGATCTGCAGATGTTGGGAGCAGGCCACGGGCCCAAGGATATGTTTAAGGTCCTTCCGCACCAAATGACTCCACCTTGCACTCTGTCACCCTACGTTCGATCTCCACCCGGGGTCATAACCCAGTCAAAGTAGGGGGGCACCTGCCATCAACATTACAACAAGACTCGCGAGGCCACTCCGAGAACGCCCGACGGGTCGTCGACGCGATCGTCGATGACTAATTAAATCGAAACATGTTTTGAATATGATCAACGGTCTTTAAGATTAAGCAATTATCACTGAGATTCTTAACAAGATCAATAATTGCGGATTCGATACTCAGGTCGTTTCTCTAAACCTTATTTTATGTTATTTATAAATTTCCAATTATTTTAACTTTTAAGGCATCACGAGAACATAAAATCAGACACGGGGAACTTTTTGGTACTTTTATTTAAAACGTATGTAGTTATCGGTTGTATGTAGGTAGGTATCGGTAGTTTTCGGTTTTATAATTAATTATTGAACAATTTCTGGAGTATCCACAAATTCAGTGACACTTAAATTACTAACTGGGCCTTACGGTCCAACCTCATTATAATTTTTTAATAATAATGATCCACGTTACATTTTCACGGAATAAAAAGTTATTTATATACATAAAAAAACTTGTCCATAAATTACTAGTGGATTTTGTAGATCCGCAAACAAAGTCGTAATGCTATCGTATTTCAGCTGTCAACCATTTTAGCATGATTGAGTAATTAATTAACAAAATTGGTATAAATTCAAAATTTAATTGGAAATTTCTTTCTAATACTTGAGAAGGGTGAAGTTCGCAGGAATCAAATGTATTGTATAATGTTAAACCTTAATAATAGAAGAGCATGACAGGTTCAGTACAGAAACAGGCTGGAAGGTTACCTACCCATACGGCCTTATAACCGAAGCCCAACAAAAAAAGAGCTTTCAGAAACTAGATCTAGCACGATGACTTAGCAGATATTATAATTTAATGTCACGTTATTTTTCAATGTATTTAAATTTATGTCCGTATGCAAATCTCTACAAAAATCTTAATGCACGAAGAATTTTACGTCATAACAAAATACTATTGTGTAACGACAAATAAAAGTCAATCAATTAAAATACCGCGGACTATCCAGTGTTCGTGTTCTAAAGGAGATTTCACAAACAATTAACCGAACGTTAAGTTCGCAGCTCGATCTCATTGCTGTACCAGTTCCTAATTAATACCAGTTCAAAGATTAGAACGCATAAAAGCACAGCGAATTAGTTCCCGTTGCTGTTGCATTTTTAGTTGCATTACTCATGACTAGATCGATCTGGAACATATTATTTTAGAACGTAACCTAAGTTTATCAAAAACCAAAGAACACTAAAAACTTCACCAAAATAAATAAAAAATCGTACATCACACGTTAATATCTAATTGATATTCATTACTATTGTTATCTCTTGCATAAGCTTGTTAACGAATTCACGACCTATCTACTGTTGAGTGATTCCGGGAACCCATAGATACGTGGATAAAGCTACCCGCTTGAAGACATGAAGTTTCAGTTTCAATTGAATAGTAAAACGGCTGAGGCATAGGTGCTCCTGCCCTTATCTTATAACCATCCCATAATGTCTTTCAGCGTTAGCAGGCTTAGGGACCTTGGTAACCGTACTCGTCAAAGAGTTCGACGTGCAACCTAACCCATGTACCATACCCCAACCGCTGAGTTTCTCGCCGGATCCTCTCAGCGGGTTGCGCAGTTGATGCATTTGCGAAGCAGCTGCCTTTGAGCCGTTAGGTCTCCTTCAGGTCTCCTTCCTGGCTGAGCCCGTGCTCGCCCACATGTCCTGTTGAAACTGAAAAGGCCTCCGGGTCACCAGTAATCCTTCTTTTATACAAAAAAGAGTAAGTACCACCACTCTTCCTATTTCTACCGTAAGGCAGTTTTTAAAAAAGCTTTTCAATGGAGTAGTTGAGGCAACCGTTGTACTGTAAAAATTGAAACTTAGAACTCATGTCTCAAGATCGGTGGCGGAATTTACGTTGTTGATATATACATATTGGCTCCGGTAACCACTTAGCACCAGATAGGTCTGGAACTTGTTCAACCATCTAAGCAATAAAAAAAAAAGTGGTGTCGTGGCACACCGGATAGGAACGAAGTTCCTTATTTTAAAATAATTAATTTTATGTTCTATTCGAGGCATAAAGAAAATCATTATTCGGGTATACATTTTTTATTATAATCTTTTTATTGGCATAAATAAAAAAAACTACTTTACAAAGTTATCAACTTTATTTTATTCACAATGATTTATAAAAAATATATAATAATATACAAAGAAACAGCTATTTATATGAATAATAATAATGACCGTCATCACGTAGAATATACATTAGACACTGTATAGCTATCATACTTGGACTATACATAAATAATAAAAATCTTACGTTACGGATGTTTTTTCCCGGTTAGGGTACCCCTCCGCATCGTCCCATAAGGAACTTCGTTCTAAAAAACGTATAGATGCTGTACGTATGCTACTACGTATATGTAGATTTATTAGTTGTTATGGGATCTTTAACAATGTGACACAACCCACTTGTATTATATAACAGGTATCATAAAAATCGATTTAATAGCCATATATCACAGCACCGTGGACTTGTGAAAATATACGAGTTGCTATGGTTTTTTATTAGCATTGAAGGCCTACAGTTCCGTTTAGTTGATAACTATCCTACGACTAAATATTGACAATCAAGGTTCATCGTTTAAATTAGAATTGTAGCAACGGGAAAAGCAAGTTCTCAATCAATTAAAGAGTTTCTCTATTTACAATAATTAATTGAACTAATGCTTAAATTCCCTAAATACAGAAACAACAAAATTCTTTATTTTAAATTTCTAGATATTATATTAAATTTTAATCAAATGTGATGATATGAGTTACTTTGTACCAGGATGATGTTATCTGACCAGGCGACGGGGCAACACAAAGCCGCCGTCGCCCAAAACATGATCCTCTCCCAGTGCTTCTAGGCCCCTCAAGCACGCGTCACCGTTCTTGTCGAACTCGTCGATTATGAAGAGTTCGACGAGCGAACTAACCCTTAAACACAGCCCACTGAGTTCTCGCCGGATCTAGTCAGTTGTTCGCGATTGCGATGCGGCGGTAGATTCTGCGAAGCGCTACTCTTGCTAGGGTTACTGTTATCAAATTCTGTCAGATGAAACCCGTGAGCTCACCTACCCGTCCGCGCGAAGGAATAGCCCCTTTGATTACCAGCGAAAAGGTAGGTGGATGATGTTCAATTATGGTTCATAATAATAAATAAGGAAGTCTCATTTTAGACATTCACGCATTATATATATTGTGATTTACAAGAATGTAAAAAATAATTAATGGCTTTTTCATTGATTTGATTGGTGAACGCGCTCTCGGCATACGCGTTATAAAATGTTTAGCAGGGCACATACCTAGACATAGCAACGCGAAAGCCATCATGCACCTTGAGACACTCAAAGCCTCAATAGTA